AAGTTTCAGAAGTTCCAGAAAGTCCAAAAGTTCCAGAAGTTTCAGAAGTTTCAGAAGTTCCAGAAATTTCAGAAGTTCCAGAAGTTCCAAAAGTTCCAGAAGTTTCAGAAGTTCCAGAAAGTCCAAAAGTTCCAAAAGTTTCAAAAGTTCCAGAAGTTCCAGAAGTTCCAGAAAGTCCAAAAGTTCCAGAAGTTTCAGAAGTTCCAGAAATTCGAGAAGTTCCGGAAGTTCCGGAAGTTCCAGAAGTTCCAAAAGTTCCAAAAGTTCCAAAAGTTCCAAAAGTTCCAAAAGTTTCAAAAGTTCCAGAAGTTCCAGAAGTTCCAGAAAGTCCAAAAGTTCCAGAAGTTTCAGAAGTTCCAGAAATTCGAGAAATTCCAGAAGTTACAGAAGTTACAGAAAGTCCAGAAAGTCAAAAAGTTCCAGAAGTTCCAGAAAGTCCAGAAGTTCCAAAAGTTTCAGAAAGTCCAGAAAGTCCAGAAAGGTTGTTCGTATTTTATTTAACATCTATTTACAGAGAGGTAAGTATGTAGCAATAAATAAATAAATAATTATTGATGGAGTTAATCAATTATAAGGACATAAATCAATTTAGAAAACTCTATGAGATTTTCGATGAAATAATTTTTATAGATTTAGTACGGACAAAGGTTACTTTCGGAGACTTTGAGACTCGGATTACCCTTAAGTGGATTAAACGAAGTTATCCACTGTGACGGCTCACTTTGGTTTCGTTGGTTGAATCCTGGAGGGACGAAAATCTGCTGGCTTTTGAAATTCGTTTCTTAAAAATTGTTCATTTTACTGGCATATTGAAAATTTATTTAAAATCAACCAAAGTACAGAAGTTCGGCTGAGAAAGGGTGACCAACAACATTTTCGACTGAATTCGGTTCACGTAAATGCGAAAAATCGACGTTTCTGCCAGCACGAGCGCGGGATCCTTTTCAATTCTTAATTACGTCCCATCCGATTGTTCTCTTGCCGGTTCTCCACGGTCCTGTCGTGCGCGGCCGCGTGTACGGGATAAAACGAACCTTCAAAGCGTTTTCTCTCCGTATTAGACCGGGTTTATTTGTGCTTTAAAGCGCAGAATCCATCAGCTGGACTTTGACGGAGAGTTCCGAGCGGCGTGTTCCTTGAAAATTTAATTCGCGTCCTTCTTCATTGGACCGGCAGGACCGTAAAGGGGTCAGTTGGCCGCAAATGTCAAAGTTCCGCCGAATCCGCGCCGGAAAGATGCACAAAGCCGTCGAACGGCATCACGGGGAAAAGTAAAATCGTGTGAAGTTCACTGGATCGAAATCGTGCCGGTGGAGTGTTCGTCCGATTTCGCTGGTCAAAATTATTCTTCTCAGGTAACGTGTCTAAAACGTATCTACTGGCTTATTTACAGTATTTTTACTTAGAGAAAATAATTATGAACAAATGAAACTTATTGCTCCTCGGAAGGCGCGCAATTATACTAACTATATTATATATTATACTGTATACAATATATATATATATATATATATATATATTGTATATTATATTTTACTGTATACAACTATAGATAACTGTATACAATTGTATAC